GGAACACTGCACAAGTGTGTGCACTCTCAGGTACTCACACCAGTGCACTTATCTGCAAAAACTCACAGTATTACATTTATGGTGGATGACTCCTGCAGACTCTCTATTATCAGGTGTGGCAAGGGTCAATTCACACACTTGCCAGTGCCTTCCTTGGGAAAGAGCAGCATTCCAGAGAGCAGCTCTGGGTTACCCTGATGTGCCTAATGCTTGCAAGGCTAGCTTGAGTCTCTCTCTCCTGACTCCAGCCTTACTGCATTTGTTTCTTTCTTTACAGTACTTTTCCTTTTTCAGTCCCCCAATCCCAGTTCATTTATGTGATTTTCAGCAAAAAAAAAAACCTTTAGGAAGAAATAATTCAGTTATTATTTAACCATTTTGTCTCATTTCATGGCGACAGTATCTGCCTTCACACAAAGACAACTCTCTCCCACTATTAACCTAAACACCATACTGACATGTTTTAATTAAAGGCAAATGTTTTACTATCCAGAAGTACAAACATGAATTTTGTAGATATTGACCTTTTTTCCAGACACAGAAATGTAGCTTGGATAGCACAGAACTATTATTAGCATGTTTATTCACCCGATTGCAGCAAGAAACCCAGCAACCTCCTTCAACCCCACCTGCTGCTGCTCACATCGATCTGCCATCCATGGGAAGCACAGCCCTGGCAACAAACATGCAGATAGATGGTAAGACAGAAATGCCTAGGGAATTAAAATGTTGAATGAGTGCAATTATAGGAGGGAAGGTGAATTATTCTTCCCCCCCTTTACTGTTAAATGGAGATTGATTTGATTGATAATGAATGTCCATCAAATGGATTTTAAGGCTCTGCTGCTTTTCTCTCTCTGCATGTCAGCCCATGTACATTCCTGAGGAGTGATAAAACAGTCTCAACAATAACATCAAGCATACAAGGCTGAGGAGAAGCAGGACAAAAGCTTGGTAACTATTACACCAGCAAAAATGGGCTGGGGTGAGGAATGAGTTTTCTGATGGGCCACCTGCAATGGCATCAACAGGTGGTTATTGGGATCGATTGCCAAGTTTGCCTTGGGAATCTGCCCTGCAATTTCACTGTCAGAGAAAACACATCCTTCACTGCCACTTACCTGCCCCGAAACTAACAGAGTTATACCAACATGTGCCAGAAGCGGATCCTGCCTGCCTTTGAAAGCAGGAATTGGAACAAGCAATGAAAGCAGTGGGGATCAACTTTCCCAGGATATAGTCTCAATTACTGCTATTTCACTAGGCAACCTGTGGGCACCTCAACATCTTTTCCCACAGCTACAGCTACAACTTCACAGGAGCAATGAGTTGCTTTGCTAAACAACTACATGGCAAACAGCACTTCTGGCAGAGCAGGAGTGCATGGAAGAGCATCCTGACATTAAAGAATTAAAGAATCATAGAACCATAAAATTTGAGGGCCTAGAATGGACCTTACAGATCATCTAGTGTGGGCACCTCAACATCTTTTCCCACAGCTACAGCTACAACTTCACAGGAGCAATGAGTTGCTTTGCTAAACAACTACATGGCAAACAGCACTTCTGGCAGAGCAGGAGTGCATGGAAGAGCATCCTGACATTAAAGAATTAAAGAATCATAGAACCATAAAATTTGAGGGCCTAGAATGGACCTTACAGATCATCTAGTCCCAATCCCATCCCCTCATGGGCAGGGAAATAATGTTCCCCTCTCCGGCTCCCTTATAGCCCCTTCAGATATTGGAAAGTTGCTAACATTGGAATTGGTGGAATGGTAATTGCCTGCTGTTCAAGCAGCAGGGTGCAGATCACTTTTGTTTAGCAAACAATTAAACTCATTCACCAGAAATCAAGCAGACACGCGTTGTCATTTGGCACAAGCCTTAGAAGCAAGCTGGAATAGTGGATGAGCCACCATGCACGTGCTTCAGATGGAGCCAGTATGAGGAGATGCTGCTCTCTCTTTCCTACCTCCCAGGAGGTCCCAGGTGGCAGCAGCAGTCCCTGTCCTTATCAACTCCATTTCCTTATTAATTCCCTATTGATCTGCTCACTGCACACTACGCAGATATAGTATTTTTATCTTCTGTACTTCTGATGTTGCTGCTGCTGAATTGTGAAGCCTCTTGACTAGCTTGGATTTTCTGTAACCTGGGAGTACGGATCCACTCAGACTCACGGGAGAGCAGACACTCAATGAAAATACCTGGGGGAAATCACAGAAGCTTGTTGTGTGAATACCTCACCGCTGGTCTGCCTACTCCCTGATGCGGAAATTTACAGAGTGATAATTTAGCTTCCTAGGTCAAGCCAGTGGCCAAAAATACCCTGAACCATCAAAATCTGCTCAGGATATTACGGCCACTACTTCCTTCTCTCACTTCTCAAAAGTGCCAACTAATCCTTAAATTACTGAAGCAAATGAAGCACTAGCACCTGTGCCACTGAGACACCAAGCAACTAGAGAAGAGCACGGTTGGTTCTGTGTGGCTCCAAGCCTCAACAAGGCTTCAGATGCTCTATCGACAATATTATCACCACAAACCATGCAATGTAATACAGTTGAGAAAATGTTTGCAATCAGTTCTCAGAACAGTCTCTTTCCTAATTGAAATACTGTTGAAGAATGGCTAAGGGAACAGGGGCACAGCTCCCAGAGAGCATTGTGCGAGCAAGACCCGAGCAAAGGTCTATGGGAGCTTTGAGCATATAACTAAGAAGTAGGCCTCAGGAGTTTAGCTTCTCAGCATTAGAAGTTATTTTCCCAGCATAATGTTGCAGCCAAAGGACAAGCTATCTGGGGAAGCTCAGCAATGTTGCAAACCCAAGGATGAACTATTCCGGGAAAACAAAGAAGGATTCTCCAGAAAACAAAGACTTCTTCACAGCTGCAGCTGCAAGCAGACATAGTATATAAATGTAACCTGTAGAGCTTAGGTAATGCTAAAATGAATAATAGGTATAGTTGTCCTGCAAGCTAAGAAAGTATACAAATGTAACTTTCAGGGTTTAGGTAATGGTAAAGAGAACAATAAGCATAGTTGTTCATGCCCTGTATAAAAGATGGACGATGGCTTACAATAAACGAGTCTTGCTGGACACCATTGGGTGCGCATTTCTCCCGTCGATCTCCCACAAAATACTGCAGAGCAGAAAACAGTATTATAATTATAATAAATGGGTGTTGCTGTGTTGGAGAAGAGCAAAACCTTTTGTCCACAAATCCCATTTACACAAGCAGAGCCAATGTTGGTAGGAGCAGTTACATTACTCTGTGTATCAGCACGTTCACTTCAGGGCTTGTATATTTTTTGTTAGACCCTCTTCTTTTTAACCTGCAATAGGTTTTCCTGATAGATTGGAGAATGATCAGAGACTAGATAGAGGAATGACTGCAAAACCTTGTATAGCACTGAAAACACCAGCAGCTACCAAGAAGCAGGTTTAAGGGAGGAGCTGATCACACTATGGAAACCAGACTTCTGGTAATGGGATCTCCAGTGTGGCATTGAAAGGCATAAACAAATTCAATAACTGGAAGCTGGCACTAAACTAATCAGACTAAAAATAAAGGAGGACATTTTCAACAGCCAAGGTAATTAACCTTCAGTACAGTTTATTGATGGTTGTGCTGGATTTTCCATTCCTGGAAACATGAAAAAATAGGATGGAGGTTTTTCTAAATGACTTCCTAAATGCCCAGCATGGTAAAACAGAACAGGATGCCACTCAAAAAAGCTAAAAATCAGCTTCACCCAGGTTCAGGTCCTACCCAGTGATAATGAACTCCTGTCCTCCCATCTTAACCTGGGCAGGTTAGGAGCCCTTGTAGAGCCTTTATTATAACCCTGTCAGCTGGCCAAAAGAGAAAGCACACATGCCATTTCTGGAGTTTTCTGCCACACCACGTGTTGGGAAAGAACATTTCTTACACCTCCTGACATGCCCTATGGAGCTGATCTCTGTCCTTGCTGTCCATCAGAGCCACTCCTCACCCTATCTGTCCTTCCCAAATACGCTTTTATTTCTGAAAACATCATCTGCACTCTCCATGTTTGCTTTCCTTTGCCGCCACTACCTCATCCCCCTTGCCCTTTTCCCTGCAGTCATTCCCCAGGGAGGCTTATCCCTTTTCCCAAGCCCCAGTGACCAGAGGGGAGAGGTTTGAGGAATTGGGGTGACATGCCTAGTGCACTGAGAGCTTTTTGGGCATCAGGGAGCAGCCAAGGCCCCATCTGAGCTGCACGAACAGCACTGGCAGGAGTGCAAGTGGAGGGAAGCTGCTTGCAGAGAGTGACCCCCACCTGTGCATGAAGGAAGGGTTCTTCAGAGATACCACAGGAGATGTCCAGCATTACAACCCAGCCCTGGGCCCTGATTTACCATTCATCTACGGGCAAGGCAGGTTATCCCTCTGCATCAGCTTTCCCCTGAACAGAACCACAGCAATGATATTTGCCCTGCTACTGCACAGCAGCACTTCCAGGATCAATTAGTTTAGTGTTCATGCAAGGCTTTGTAGACAGAAGCTTCAATACAAGTAGTAAGTACTATTATTGTTACTGCACTTCAAATGGCTACCACACTGACATTTTCCAGGCATGCACCATTAACAATTTACTAAGATAAATGGCCCAGGAACCTGGAAATGCATTTAGAACAACTACCTCCTGCTTACCAGCATATGTTCAGCAGCGTAAATGACACCTCATTGCTCAATGTGTAGCTATGGTAACATTTTTATCTCATATATTGAAGTTCATGCACACGCACACACATATACACACACACGTGGAGCTGGAGGGAAGCCAGGCTGCCTTGTTTAATGACACACAAACACGGAGCCAGGGAACTTTCCCAGGCTCTGAAAGCCAAGCTGCTCCCAGGAGTCAGGGATGAGGAGCGGCCAACTTGCCCCAGGCCCATCACGAAAGGGATGGGTTAACAGCAGGCTGCAACCCCAGAACCAGAGCCCCACCAGGCCCTCAAGTGACTTACTTGAGAGCAGTCTTGTAGTGGTAGATTGCCTCAATGTTACGGCCCTGGTCTTTCAGAAAATTGGCATAGTTGTAGTGCACCTTGGCGTTGTGGGGCAGGGTCTTCACTCCTGAGCTGTGAAGAGGAACAGAAGCAGGACAGTGTTAGCAGGAGGTTACCACACTTTTCCCTAGGTCCACTTTCTTCTCATGGTCCCTTTTTCTGAAAAGTTTGCTTGTAATTTGAACACCTTGTCTCCTCCTGTGCAGTTGTGTCAACACAATTCTTATCACCCCAAGCTTGTCCCACGCACTGGTACACCAAGTGCCCCAGGCAGACATAAATATGTGGCTGCAGTTCAACTCATCTTGGCTGCTGTCACCACAGGCACTTCTAGCACTAACACTGCATCACTCCCTGTGGCCAGATGCTGTTGTATTTTAAAATCTGAATTATTAAACCGAGAGAGCAAAAATAGGCTAATACTTAGAGGGAAAGCATGTAGTACTTTCTAATAATAGGGTCCCTGCTTCAACTTGAGTGTCATGAAGCACCTTATGAAAATATTGACTTAAACCCGTCAGCTGCAGATACAAAAAAGAAGGTATCCTTCCCATAGGCATCAGCCTCTAGAGAGGATGCATGGCATACTCCCAAGTACCAAGCCAGCACGTATGCATCCCTTAGTGCTGAGCAGAGTGCAGACAGGAGGTGAGGGCTAATGGGACTCACCCTTAGGTGGCAAGTCCTAACACTCTGGCATTGTAACATGTGGCTGAGGATATATGGCTGCAACCCATCCCTCCCCTTCATCTCCCCTGCCACGTGTAGACTAAGCTCAACATTTGGAATTAATAATGAGGGCACAAAGACAAAAGGAGAAGAGTAAGCATTTGATTATTTACTTAATTGAGAGCACAGAAAGCAAGGTACACCTTGCACAGCCAGAGGAAATGCCATTTCAAGGTTAAAGTGAGAAAGAAATCACAGGAGCACGTACACCATGGAAACATTTCCCCTGCAAGAATCCAGAGAAATCGGTACTCTGTTTAATGGGGGAATCCTTTCCAGCACGTAAATAGGGGCTCTCTGAGGTAATGGGAAGTAAGGATGGATGAATATGTCCATGTAAAAGCAGACAAAGTGCTGTTTCTTACTCACAAGCAGATTCCTGCCAGCTGCTCTTTTCTACACCCCCAGCATCTCTAACCCGGCTACCTCAGGTAGAAAACACAAGGAATAGGTAATTCCCAAGTCTTGTTGCTTTGCCTTGTCTGTCTCTCCTGTTTAATTCTGGTGGGCATGGAAATTAACCATAACGAGACAGGGTCACACACAGCCCTTACAGTAGGGTGCACACCCTCTCCCATGGGGAGAATGCACCCACAGCTGATGGGTTGCCAAATCTCCTTTGTTGGAGATTTCACTGTAGAACAGTTCTGAGGAATCCAGTGGCAAATATGGTATGTTTTTGGCTATCTGCAGCCAGTGGTGCCAAGCATGACTACTTGTGAGAGCTTCCAAAGCTTCACCCACAGCTGCCTTACACACAGCCACGGTTTGCCTACTGAAATTAAAAATACACCTTGCATTTGACTTCCTAATCATCAGGTATTTCCAAATTACTTACTGGGAGCACTACAGGAATAAGACATTTTGTGACTAATCGCTGAATTAAATCAGTTAATTGATGCTATTCTTAAGAGAATGATTTTCTATATTAGTTTTCACAAAGATATAGTGCACCAGCAGCAAGTAATGTGTGACTGCTATGGCTGTGTTAATTTCCATTGGCCTTGGGAGCTATTAACTGCACACTTACAACCTCTGGGCATTACTGGAATATTAATTCTTATACAGAGAGGGTTTCATTACATCACCACTAGTGTTACAGGCAGAGACATGGCACTCAAAACTGCTGCTCTCTCAGAGCTACGTGCTGGCTCTGCTACAGCTTCTGCTGAAACAGAGCAGGCTGAGTTAACAGTGAGGAGCACACTACATATGCACAAGCACTTCAGTTCTGATGAGATATGGTTTTAACAGTAAGATGCATATGTTTAAATATTTTAATTCTGAACTGTTTCCCTTTAAGTGGAATTTATTATTAATTCTGCTGGTCCCATTTATTAAAACCACTAATAAATCTTCTTTCATCTGCATGCTTCTGCTGGTAGTGGGGGTGACACAGGAAAGGCAGAAATGGGTTTGGGTTCGTAAGATGCTCTCTTCTGCATCACACTGCTCACACTCCCTGTCCTATTTATTTTCCTCACACAGGCGAGGAGAGGGGGTGTTTCATTTTGTAAATGCACATAGCAATGACTGAAGCTGCTTGGAGTCTCTGCACTGTGGGAGGTAGTAGCAAACACAGTGCTGGATGCAGAGGGGAATTTTCAGTAGAGTTTAGGCAAGCACTCCTGCTAACTGGTTCTTGACCAGTCGAGAATGCTGTTTGCTCATTGACAGAGAAAACAATAATGTCCATAGTGAAAGCCAAGAAGGAAAGGGTGGAGTATAAATAATAAAGCAGAACACAATGTTTTTCCATTTCTGCTTCCCACAAGCCCTCAGCCTCTCACAATTTTAATATCATTTTCCAACGTGCTTTTCCAAACTCTCCCGCTTCCCCGCTCTCCAGCTCAGCATTCACATACCCTTCTGAGAACCTACGGCACCACTCTGGCACCAGCCAGAAACAAGCCCATCGAGACCTGATGTCACTTCTCCAGAGTATTTCCTTCCTTTTCACTTCTAGGACAGCAGTAAGTGACATAAATGGAAAATAAACAACAGGCAAACCTTTTTACGTAACACTTCCTCTCCATGGAAAGGCAAAAAGCCTATCAGCATAAATCAGAGAAATAAAATACTACTGGCATTTTCCAACCTCAAATACCAACATTATCCAAATCCCACTTCAGCTGGGCAAAGTTTCCTGTAATCTCCTCTGTTGTTTTCCTAAATGCGTGTCCTGCTCTACAAAGTAACAGGGTGCAGGGAAGAGGCTTCACTGATTTTCTGTGATATAAAAAGCGCTCAATTTACAAG